TGACACCATTAGAAAGAGGAGCTCATTAGCGACGCGTAGAAAAAAACGGAATCGAATTCCGAGTCCGAACGAGCGTAAACGAGCCCGAGACGCGAAGAAGGGCGAGCTGCCAGGCGCCGCGGCACGACACTCACCGCGGCGCGACGCACCTCCGCGGCGCGAAAGAAACAGTCCTCGCGCCGCGCTACAGCCACGTTCCCATCAGAGAGTATCCCAGCATCACACTCCGCGCCGCGCTGCTCATCGCGCCGCGACAGAAGATCCCGCCACGCCGTGTCTTGTCACCGCGCCGCGGCAAGAACCAGTCTCCCGTGAACTTCGCGCCGCGCAGCTGCCGCATCTTGGACAGAGAGCTCAGAACACGCCTCCACGCCGTGCAGCATGCCGCGCCGCGGCACCATCTTCTTCCGCGTCGCGAGCCCCCTCCGCGCCGTGCCAGACGTCCTCTTCACGCCGCGGGACAGCTAGCCTTCACGTCGTGGCCCTGTGTCTTCACGCTACAGATCTTGCTATTATATAAATATGCGTCGGGATTCAATTAAAAGGGGGGAATTCTCGACCGTGGGGTACCAACCCTAGGTCCCGAGAAAAATCACGACACTCTCCTTCTTCTTCTTCTTCCTTTCTTCTCCTTCTTTTAATCTTTCCTCTCCAATTTTCTTTTTCTTTTTATTATTGTTCGAGGATTCAAGCTTGTACTTTAGATTCAACATTGAATTGAGAATTATTGTAAGTTGTTTTTCTCTTTTTTAATTCATGAGCAATGGTTGATGTGAGAGGAATAATTATTTGCGTTGAATTCATGTTACGTAGCTAATCTCTTTGCTAGGGATAGGGGATGATTGTTCTCGTTTGAATTGTACTTGTCGGGCTTCGATTCGTTCATACTTATGTGCATTGTTTTGATTGAGGAATTGATGAATTTAAATTTGATAGATTGATATAATCGAAAAGTGACATTTCGATCTTGCTATTGGTGACAGTTGGATGTTAATTTGTCGAATTAGAGTTTGTCAATTCTATATGATTAGTTGATTAATCACCTTCTAATTGACTTAGCGGCTTTCAGAACCGAAAGGAAAGAAGTCGTAGAAATAGACTCTCATGAGGTAGATTATTTCGTAACTGAATAGTCTATATGTTTTGGGTTGAAATACGCGCTTGTCGATTACCTGTCCCTTGTTACGAAAAGTTATTGGGATTGGGATAATTGGCCTGTGTCGTGTGCTCGAACTTGTTCGTCTGTGTTCAATTCCTTGTTACGAAGAGTTATTGGGAGCGAACAGCTAGATGTCTAAGCGAGAGTGTCAATCTTGAACCGAAAAATTGATTGCCCGGTTTTGCTAGAACTTGAATTAATTATCCCCGACTCCCTATCTTCTTTTTCATTGTTCCGTTCATATTTCTTAGGTAGATTATTATTTTTATGTTATTTCTTAGCTGATAATTCACCCATCCTTATTTGATTAGTATGTTTAGGATTTTCTTTGCTTTTATGTGTTATCGATATCAGAACTAAATTCCGAACCGCCTTCCTCATGAGATCGACCCGGGGAACGAATCTTTCGATTTGGTACTCGGTAAAAAGAATAATTTGTACACAACACTGATTAAAAGAGGTGGAAAATATATGATAACCCTACTGTTTTTAAACTTAAAGAAACAGAGCTTGTGAAAATAACTCATTTAATATTAATATCTTTGTCCCGTGCATCGCATGGTATGTACTAGTTTTATCAAACAAGGTTTACCATTTTCCCTCAACTTCTTTTTAAAATTCTTAAAAACAATGTATTACACCACACCCCTTCCATTCTCTTCCTTCCATTAAAACTATAGTTGGTAAAACTAGTTGATAGCTGCTTGCTTATAGCTTACGAGTAATTTTCGAGCTTATTGTTTATAGTTTATAATTTATAGCTGAAAAGCTAGCTTATATGATATAAATATTTGGTAAAATTAGCTGAAATAAAGATTTCAACCAACTTATTTGAGCTCGAATTTTTTAAAAAAGATCGTC